AATAAAAAATAAATTACGTTATGAAAACTTTTCCTTTTCATTCTCTCCAATAATGCGTAGTACATGGCAGATTTCAACTGCCGTTTTGCTTTCCATTACTGATATAAAATGATATAAATATAAAGTGACGCCTAGATTTCGTACACTTAAGGACGTGAAGAAACAATACACTAACGACTGTCCTGCAAGATTTAATAAACCTTACATTGACGACTATAATGCAGGAGATATGAAACAATGCAATTACTTCCAGCAGGAGTTAAGAAACATTACACAGACGATTATCCTCTAAGAGTTAAGAGACCATAAACTTGCTTCCTGCAGGAGTGATCGGGGCGGTGGAGAGAAGGGAAGCCGATTTCTCCCTCAACATCGCCATCACTCAGGACAGAGAAGAGAAGGTGGACTGTACCATAGGCTACCACGTGGAACCGATCACCTTTGCGACTTCGAAACCTCGGCCGTTAAACCAAGCGCTGGCGCTCATTAGGCCGTTCGCTCCCAATGTGTGTTTCGTGTTCGTTTTCTATGTTTGTGGCTTCGGTTGGTGTCTTTGTGTTTACTGTTTGTTTGTTTGGTTGATTGGTGTTTGTTTTATTTTTTGGTGTTTGTGTGTTTGTTTCTTTCTGTCTGTCTGTGGCTCTCTCTCTCTCTTTTTTGTTCCTCTCTTCTCTCTCTGTTCCTCTCTTTTTTTCTCTCTCTCTCTCTCGTCAGTTATATCTGTTTTTATTTTTGTTTCTGACAGTTTCCCTGAATCTCTCTCTCTCTCTCACTCGTCAGTTATATATATTTTTATCTTTGTTTCTGTCAGTTTCCCTGAATCTCTCTCTCTCTCTGTTCCTCTTCTCTTTCTCTCTCTCTCTCTCTCTCTTCTCTCTCTTTCTCGTCAGCTATACCTATTTTTCTCTTTGTTTCTGTCAGTTTCCCTGAATCTCTCTCTTTCTGCCACTCTTATTCACTCACCAGCTCTAAGTAAACTACAAAACCATTTACCTAAACATCTATGCCTCCAAACACACAAAAAGAATCCATTATCTGCCAAATACCCAGATAAATACAAACAAATAATTAAAAACAAAGACAAAGAAAACGACAAATATCTCAAACAAAGCTTTAATCTTCCCTTCTCAGATGTGGGCAGCCTTCAGCATTACTCTGGTGGTGACTGGTCCTCTGTATTTCCTGATCTGTAGGTTCACCGTCGCCCCCTTCGAGAAAGTCACTCCTCCGACCTTAGTGAAGTCGTACTTGATCATCTTCGCGGCTTGCTTCAAGTGAGGGGATGTGACGGTGTGGTTATCTGTTTGTTATTGTCTGGTTTGATGACTTAGTGATTGTTAGTTCTTGTACTGTTGTGAAAGAGGTGAGGTTAAGTTTGTTATAAGTGATTGTGAGTGATAGAAATGTGTCGTTTTTCTTTTTCTTTGATTCATTCATATGTTTGTTTATTTATCTACTTATTTATCCATTTATTGATTCATTTATCTATTTCTCTATTTATTAATCAATTTCTTCGTGTATCTATCTTCCTGTTTATCCATTTCATATTTATCCTTTTCTCTATTTGTTAATCATTTTGTTTGTTGATCAATCTCCCTATTTATCTATCTATTTATCCACTTATCCAAGCATCTTATCCAAAATTTGAGAACTCACTTCCCTTCCTCTTCTCTCCTTCCCTTCCCTCTATTCACAGCCAAGGCGTAAAGTGGCTGCCTGTGTTCTCAAACCGTGTCTTCGGAATGACGTACGTTATAACAATGTTCGTGACGGTCACTGTGTACGTTGCTATGTTGACGGCAACGCTCACACTCCCTACACTCTCTCCGACACTTAACACTTTAGAGGAACTTGTGAGATCCGATTTCTCGTGGGGTATTCAGGTGAGTTTGTTTTTTGTTTTGTTTCGTTTTGTTTGGTTTATGTTTGTTTGTATGGTTGGTTGTTTACTTATGTGTTTGTTTAGTTGATTGTTAGATTATTTGTTTGTTTTTTGTTTGTTTATGTACTTTGTTTTTTATGTTTTAAAGAGGTTTGATTGTATTTCCATCCTGAGATATTTTAAGTCTAATATTGTAATGGTACTGAGGTGATTGTATATTGTTTATAAATAAGAATTAGAAAAATAATAAAGTGGGTGAGTTAAATATGTAAGTGAAACTGCTTTACTTGATACATATATATATATGTATCACCCACATCCACATCCCTTTTCCTACCCCACACCCCTTCCCACACCCACAACCCACACCCAACGTCAATATCTCTCCCGACTCAAGGACTTGGGCGCCGCAGACTACCAACTCCTGAAGTCTTCGAAAGTCCCTTTGTACCAGAAGGTGTACAGGGGCCTTAGTCCTTGCCCCTCGCTCGATGAGTGCATTACTCTCGCCCGGGACTCGAAGTACGCTTTTATTACATGGCGGACTTATCTGGAGGATCGGATCGCTGTGAGGTGAGTGAGGGAAGGGGGGGGGTGTAGGTGAGGGAGAGAGGGTGA